AGTATTTTCTCATTCAACTTTTCTTGGCTTTGAAAATTATTACTTATTGATGATTCATTGACTTATAAAAATGAATCATTCCCTCATTAGCTAATAAAAACAAATGAAATGGTTTCTGGTTCAGCTATAATTATACTTTACAGAATAAAGTATTCATTCAATTCACATCAAGCTACAAATCAATGTAGTTGTTGATTATTTAATTTGATTAAAAATAATGTAGTGTAGTTGTTATTTAAACCAGCTCAAGACCTCAAGTGTTTTTAACATCATAATTCTTTTTAAGGACCGGGTTTATGAACTCTTACGTATGTAACTAATTTGTTGGTTTTCTTCTTTTTTGATAAGTAATTAGAAAAATTAATTCAGAAAAGTATAAAGAATATTCTAATGGTTACGTGATCAAATCGGTTTTTCTTTCTTATTTTATAAGTTTGGATAATTAAGAAAAAAAAAATAGACTAATTCTTTCAGAAGTAAGAAATCACACGTTCTTAGAGTTACAATTTCTTTTTTTGAATTTTAAGGTTTGGGATTTTTAAATTTTAAGTCGAGTTTTTAGAGTTTATGTTTAGCTTTAAAATTTAGAGACTTAAATTTTGGCAATATTCTCTTTTGTTAATGCATTTAAAAAGGGAAAAAAAATAGTATAAAGCTATTTACCCTACCTAACCTAATCCATTGGCTTTCGTAGTTACCGTCTCACCCAGCCGTAAAAAGATGGACCGCCGTAAAAAGATGGAGCTGCGAAACTCAGTCGCGAAGCAAAACGATTTTTACGCTGGCTAAACACGTGATCGCCACCACCGCCGGAAAATCCTCAAACCTCGTCTTCTCGCCGGCGTTGATCAATGTCATCCTTAGCTTCATCGCCGCCAGATCTCCCGGAACTACCGGAGATCAGATTCTCTCTTTGCTTCAAGCTTCTTCGACCGATGAGCTTAACACCGTCTCCTCCGAGATCGTTACAACCGTCCTCGCCGACAGCACAGCAAGTGGCGGCCCAAATATCTCTGCGGCTAACGGCGTCTGGATCGACAAGTCTCTCCCTGCGAACCTTCTTTCAAGGATCTCTTGGAGAATTCGTACAAAGCTACTTTCAATCAAGTCGATTTTCGTACCAAGGTATGATTAGATCCATATAACCTAGATCTTCTTCAGTTTTCCCCAATTTGTTCGAAATTCACAAACTAGGGTTTATGTATGAATTTGTACTAGGGTTTATGCGAACAGTGATTAATCAGGTATACACAATAGGGATTTTGAGTGAAATCAGTTTACAAGATGTTGATAGCTTTTTTTGTTTTGTGTTTGGTTTTGGAAAGGCTGATGAAGTGAATGAAGAGGTGAATTCATGGGTTGAGAAGCAGACAAATGGACTCATCACTGATCTTCTTGCACCTAAATCTGTTTCTCCATTCACTGATCTCATATTTGCTAATGCATTGTTCTTCAATGGAAGATGGGATAAAGAATTCGATCCAGAGCTAACAGAAGATTCAGACTTTTACCGTCTTGATGGAACCAAAGTATGTGTGCCCTTCATGACCGGTGGATTCAAGTTCATGAAACATCTCGATGTTTACGAAGGTTTCAAAGTCCTGAAACTAGAATACAGACAAGGACGGGATTACGAAAATGACAATCGTATTTTCTTAATGGAATTCTATCTCCCTGATGAGAAAGATGGGTTGCCTGCAATGCTGGAGAGATTAGCTTCTGATGAGGACATTTCAAGCGATTGGGCAGGTGTCAGAGAACTCAAAATTCCAAGGTTTAAATTTGGTTTTGATTTCGAAGCCTGGGAAGCTCTCAAGTGTTTGGGTTTGAATATGCCATTGGAGAAGATCGTCCACAAGTCTTGCATTGAGGTCGATGAAATGGGATCGAAAGCTGCAGCTGCTGCTGCTTTAATAGGTGTCGGTGCTTGTGGTCCTGCGGACGAAGAGTATGACTTCGTGGCTGATCATCCTTTTCTCTTCCTCGTCAAAGAATAAAGAAGTGGACTGGTTCTGTACCTTGGTCAAGTCATTGATCCTTGTATGCATTAATTTTTGTGTCCAAAGTCTCTTATGCC